CACTTTTTTTTTCCCTACAGATACATTATGAGATGAGAGTTATTTGCTCTCAAAATATGTGATGGATTGTTTGCGAAGGTGTTCAGGTGACAGTTATTTCTAAATGATCCTAAAAAGGAGGCTTGTTTAACAGGCTGGACAGTAGGACTTGCTGTCCTGCTCAAAGGGGCATCCTGGAGTTTGTTTTTCCTTGGAATTAATACTATGATTTGCACCGAATTCCAACACTTAATGTGAACCGTGGGTTTGCAAACAGTCTAAGGCAGGGTAAGTACTGAAGACATGAGGAGTGCAAGTTGGTTATTTTTTTTGTGCTAACTTCTTGGTTTCAGCACAAGGGTTATGTGCCAGAGATGCACATACTTCACCTACGGTTATAAAGCACTGTTTACTTTTTTTTGTGCAAACACAAAAGCCAAGTGGGAAGGGATATTTCATAAACTCAGTGCTATTGTGTCCTCTGGTCTAAGCCATAAAACAAGAGTAACAGAGACATTCCCTTTGAACTTGAAATCCTTTTCTAAGCTGCTGATCTAACCTAAGTGAGAGGGGGAGACTATACCAGCCAGAAAATTTCTCTTCTGGGTATTTTTCCCATCCTGCCCCTTTTCTTTTTTCAACGTCCTTAAGTGAGTTTGATACTGCACCTCTGCCCATAAATTTAAAAAAATATTATCGTAATGTAGGTCAGTGAACTGAAACGCCACTGTACACCATGGGGGATTAAAGTCAGAGAGGCAGCCCTCTCCCACTCCTACTAGGTCATATGACAATATAAACAAGAAATGCAAGGAGCCTTCAGCTTTTTCTTGCCCTAATCCTTTGTTTATGCAGCACTTAAACTGACTTTTGGGGTCGTCTCTGTCTGGCATTAAAGCCCTAAAGCTTTTTGAAGTTTCCCTGAAGTTAATAAAATTAGTCTGCCCTCATTGCTAGGCCCCTTGCTGCTGCTCCAGAGCAGACTGCGGATCCCTTACTGTCTTTGTGGCGTTTGGCTTTGTAAGTTCATAATATTTTATACCAAAAGAAAGACTGTTTGAGAGAAAAGCAGAAAGCTCTCCCGAAAGGCTGTTCAGCTAATAGGCAAAGTGATTGCCATTGTAGATGTTCTGAGAACTCAAAGGGGATTAACTTAAAATCCCGCGATTGGAGGTAAATTGCTGGTAAAGTAATTGGAAGTGTTGAGTTTCAGTTAGAGAGAACAACATGCATTTCTTTCCCTTTTTACAAAGCAAAGCTAAACCAAAAATATTATTTTTCTTTTTCTTTTATTATTTTCTAATGCAGTCTTAAAGTTGAGAAAATGCCTTCATAGCAATTCTCTGCTACACTCATTTATTTTAATGCAAAGACTGATCCAGTTATCTTAGTTCCTGTTAGGACAGGCATTTTCTAGTTATTTTGTCTTTGTCAGGGATAAACTGGTGATAGGCTCACTGGAGGGCAAGGATGGCACAGGATGGGGTGTGTAGTATTTAGTGCGTGAGACAGAGACTTGGGGTCATAGAGGTTTTATTCCAAACATCCAGTCAGGCAAGTCACTGATCACTTATTATCTCAGCACCACTAAAGTGGTTTTGTTTCTAATGGCCTGTAGAGATGCCCAAGGAATCATGGTGATACCTACAGAATGTATTCATTGGTTAAAGGAGGGATTTTTTTTTTTTTTAACAAGTTGAGTTAAGAACTGGCTGGATGGCTGGACCTAGAGAGTGGTGGTGAGTGGTGCTGCATCCAGCTGGCAGCCAGTCACCAGTGGTGCCCCTCAGGGATCTGTGCTGGGGCCAGTTCTGTTTAATGTTTTTATTGATGACATGGATGAGGGGATTGAGTCTTTCATTGGTAAATTTGCAGGTGACACTAAGCTGGGAGCGTGTGTCGATCTGCTGGAAGGCAGGAGGGCTCTGCAGTGAAACCTGGAATGGTTGAATGGATGGGCAGAATCCAATAAGATGAAGTTTAATAAGTCCAAGTGCTGAACCCTGCATTTTGGCTACAAAATAATCAGTAACTCCCTGCAATGTTATAGGCTGGGGGCGGCATGGCTCCCAGGCAGAAAGGGACCTGGCGGTGCTGGTGACACCCGACTGGACACGAGCCAGCAGTGTGCCCTGGTGGCCAAGAAGGCCAATGGCCTGGATCAGGAATGGTGTGGCCAGCAGGAGCAGGGGGGGTCATTCTCCTCCTGAACTTGGCACTGGTGATGCCACACCTGAAGTGCTGTGTCCAGTTCTGGCCCCTCATTTTGGGAAGGATGTTGGGACGCTCGAGCGCGTCCAGAGGAGGCAACGAGGCTGGAGAGGGGCTGGGAACACAAACCCTGTGAGGAACCACTGAGGGAGCTGAGGGTGCTCAGCCTGGAGAAAAGGAGACTCAGATGTGACCTTATCACTTTCCACAGCTCCTGAAAGGTGGTTGCAGTCGGGTTGGGCTTGGTCTCTCTCCAGGCAGCAGCTGACAGAACCAGAGGACACAGTCTTAAGCTGCACCAAGGGAATATAGGTTGGATGTTACGAAAAAGTTTTTTGCAGCAAGAGTGATAAAGTACTGGAATTGTCTTCCCCAGGGAGGTGGTGGAGTCACCATCCCTGGATGTATTTAAAAACAGACTGGATGTGGCACTCAGTGCCATGGTTTAGTTGAGGTGTTAGGGCATGGCTTGGACTTGATCTTAGAGGTCTCTTCCAGCCCAGTGATTCTGTGACCATTAGAGTGAAAAGAACAGCACAGCTGGAGTCCTTGGTTACTCTCCTGTACTGAATGTACAAGAGCAAGACCCTAAAAAACACATTTCTTTATAAAAGATAAGGGTTTTTTTAATTCAGAGGTATTAAGTGAGTGTGGCATAACTGAATGCTGATAGAGTTTGTTTCTGTTCTAATACTCAATTAAAGGTTATCATTGCTGGTTTACTCTAAGGTACTTGATGCCTGTAACACTTGTTCACAGAAGTCACTGGAGTTTTTTTTGACAGCCTTGTTGGGGAGACTAAACTGAGCCATGCTAGCCTAGTATGATTGCTCGTCCTGTAATTCCATTTTTAATTAAGTTAAAGATAACTTTGAAGTGCTCTTGGAAAAATAAAAGATGCTTAGAAAGATGTTGGCCTTTAATGTTGGCTTCCTGTGCCATTTGAGGGATAACTGCAAAAATAATAGATATATTAGAGATCCTCCCTGGAGCATATTGTACCATCTGTATTTCAAACACAGGGGAAAGAAACACTAGCCAGCAGTGGACAAGAGAGATGAACACTTTTAAAATTCTTGGTTTAGGAATAAAATATTTGTAGGATGAAGTAAGATTTTAATTTCTCCATCCACTGCAGCTGGAAAAAAAAATTCGGTTTTGAGAATGTAAGTGCTTCTTCAGGTTGGAATTAACAGCTTCTTTTTCTTCTAGTCTAGCCAAAGAAAGGGAAGTGTGCCTGAAAGCTTATCTCCCCCCTCAACCTCCACCTATTATCAGGGGCTCTAGAAAAAGACATTATTCAGTTTTGCATTTAAGCCAGAATGTTGCTGAGCAGTGATACTGCCATCAATGCTTCTCAAGCTGTTTTGAAGCAGTGGGAGAGCACAGACACAACAACAAAAAAAAAAAACATAAATGTGTCCTTTTGGGGAAAGATGAGGAGTTTGGACAGTGAGTGTTGTTGAGGCATCTGAGTGTTTCTGCACCCAGCCCAGAGCAGAGCTTCCTGTCCTGTTGTCATCTCCACGTGGCAGAAGCAAGAAGGGCTGTAGATATTTCTCATCCTGCACCTGGTCTGGGGCAGGGGGAGGTCCTGCCTGTGCTCTCTAATGCTGCACAGCCCTTTCAAGACTCTTTATAGCTGAGCAAGTAAGTTCTGTTTAAAATAAAACAAAAATGAAATTTCTGATGCTAGATTTACTACCATCCTGAGATTGGCATTAAAATGGAGGTATATATATGTAACAAAAGAATAACCATCCTAGGGATTTGAGTCTTTATATGCATTATAATTTATGGAGGAGGCTTCAGGGAAGGACAGTTGCTTAAGAAACTGGAAATACTTTGAGTCATCAATATTTTGAGTTCATTTAAACTGAGTAAAGGGGAGTGTTCAGAACTGACTGTAATTCTTTACTGTTCTAAGTCACTTTGGCTCCTGAGATGTGAAGAAAAGCTGCAACTTTTACCACAAGAAATAATCTTGGAAAGATTGAAGTAATATCCCCATATTTATTCTGATAAATAAATGCTCTTTCTGTGTCTACAAGGTAGAGTAACTGCAGGCATTGGGTGTACAAGGATATTCACACCTACAGGATTAGGCTCACTTGACTGCACCTTATACTTTGTAATGCCTAAGGGAGGGTTGTTTATCTTGCCTCACCCACCAACCTCACCGCCTCTTGTTCCTGATAGCTTAATTAACAATTCAACTTGGAATGGTTCTTCCCACTGGGTTACAAACCTTGAAATTAAAATTGGATATAGTGGTCATAAGGCTCTTGGTTTAAAAGATCAATATGTATGTAAAGGTGAGTATTTAAAAGGCTCTGTTTAGAAGCTATGTCATTTCTTGGGAAGTGTAGCTGTTGGAATGCAGGTCTGGAGCTAAGAGAAAGAATGTTTATGTAGGTGATAATGTACTTAGCTGTAGAATAAATAATGGAATAAACTTTTTGTCAGCATAAGTACTTCAGTGACTTTCATAGAAAGATTTCAAAGCAGAAAAAATATTTTAATTAACTGATCTTTACAGCATGTTCTTATGTAGGTTTTATTATTCTTATATTTTGATAAGGGAGGTAGAAGCAGAAATGTGTTAGCTCATAAAATCTTCTATGGTTTTAGACACAAATTGCCTTAAACTCAGCAGTTTAGATGACTCACCCAGAGTTTTGCTCATCTGGGGGTAAATGGTATGTCAAAGGTGGAGTGGTAGAAGTTGCCAAACTTAGCATGTAACATGGATAATTTCCTGTCACTTCAGCTTGTGGAGTTATGAATCCCTATTTTTTTTTTTTTTGCAGGTGATGGACGATTACAGTGTGATTGGTCGTTCATTGTTTAAAAAGGAAACAAACATCCAGATTTTTGTGGGTCTGAAAGTGAAACTGTCAACAGGAGAAGATGGAATAATAGATGGTGGTTTTGGACAAAGTGGTAAATTCAAAATCCGAATTCCAGGTAGGTGTTAGCGGTTAACTAATAACAATCTATGTCCACTGTAGAGGAACTTCCCATGCTGCAAGGTGAAGTGCTACCAGTGATCTGAAGTTTTGAAATCAGCTCACACCCAGCTGGAGCAGTGATCTGGTGGGGACTGTACCTCTTGTAATTACATGGTGGTGGCTGTGACTTACAGTGTGAGACTGAGTGGCCTGAAGCCACATCCCCTGTGTCAACAAACTCGGGTCTCAAAATGACTTCTTGCTAAGTGGCACTAACACAGAAATCATGCTGTGCCCAGAGAGGTTTGTGGCAATCTCTCCTCTCTTAATGTATGTATGATTTGCACCAGAGCCCTTCTGAACAAATAGAAGAAAGCAAACCTGCAATCATTTTTACCTGTGGCTGCTTATTAAATAGAGTATATTGGATGCAAGTTCCTTAAATTGGCTCTGTTCTGCATGTTATTACCTAACTTGCCTTCAAGCAAAAACTGCTTGATAAATGGGGTTTTGGACATCTTGAGAGTTTTTTTATTGCTTGTGTCTCCTGGTTTTATAATATTATATATGACTCTATTTTTCATCCTTGCTGAATTACAGGAAGGATTTATGCCTCCTTAGGTTAGAGCATGGGAAATTATGGGTGCTAGAGTTTATAAGTGTCATTTACTGGGGGTTTTTTCCTCCTTTTACAGCAGGAGAGTAGTTCTGAACCTTTTCAAAAGGCAGTAATAGGTGTTGCATTTAACTGAGATTGCAGGATAAGATTTTAAGGATACCAGGCAGTACTTTTGTATTTCAGTTTTGTCTTCAGCCCATTTGTCACTAGTTAATCCCCCACCCTCTTAGGGAGATGAGCAAGATTGCTTCTGTTGAACAAGTGGGGAAAAGAAGTTACAGTGTTCTATGGCAGCAAACATAGCCACTTACCTTCAGAGAAAGGTGAAGTTTCCTGATTCCTTGCAGAAGATGGACTATCTTTCCATTTCATTTAGAGGGTGATGCAACTGCTCTAATTTTGACCCTCTGCAAGTTTCCTTTCTTCTTCCTATTACAGGATAAAAATTTCTGACTATATAAAATATCTCATGTGTTCTATCCTAGCTGTACTTCTGGTTTTGTAACCAAATGCTAGATTTTGCAAATAGGTAAGGCTTCTGAAGCCTAATTAGCACTCACACTTCACATTTAAAGAAAAAGGTTGCACCAGATAAGTGTTTGCTTTTAGTTTGCTGGTATAGAAAAGATTTTGGGGATTCACTGAGTTACCTTTAGGTAGGTGATGAAATGATGCATAGATGACCTTAGAGCTGAAAAGCTGAAAATCAAGATGGTGTCTTGCTTAAAAATGTAGTTATGTAACTTTCTTGGTCACTTTTCTCTCCCAGAGGCAAAAATCTGATGAACAAAAAGAAAAGGAGGATGGCATTTACATTGCCATTTCTGCATTTTTGGATGGAGGAAATGGTTCTTCCTGGGACAGAGAGAAGCCTTAAAAGGAGTCTCTGGCACCCTTGTGGATTTAAGCAGGAACTGTAATTGTCAACCAGCAGTTACATTAAGAAAATTGTATATAGATTTAGATAATGGCATTTTGCTCTGTCCATTAAGCTAGTGGGAAGAAATGATACCTTTCACCAAGGTGTTCGTTATCTAATCTTGGTTACACTCATCAGGTGTTCAACAGCAGACCTTGAAACAGAGGACCCTTTATGGTTTATTCTTTCAATGAGAAGAATATGTGGTAGAATGCTAGAATTTAATACCTCTCTAAAGTAGGCAGAATAATACAACTTAGTTTGCTTTGCTTTAGTCTGGGTCAAACTTGGGTGCTCTTGTTGTTTGGAAAGAAAAGGCAGTAAGTTAAATTCAGTCAGGTTGAGGGTATCAAGGAGTGGAAAAGAAGCACAGAATTTGAAATAGGCTAAAAACCTGTCTCTTTAAGAGTTCCAGAGATTTGTGTGTAGGGGGAGGGCCATTGCTGTGATACTGCTTGAGTCAACTGCAGTTCACATTCCTTTGTTAGATCAGTGTTGCTTTTTTAATGAGTCTGCACCCTGTTTGTGAGTTGTTTTTTTTTTTTTTTAATTTCACTGGTCAGACTTCTCTTTCCCTTACCCCATTCTTCATATTTGTCTCCTCTCATACAGTCTCTTCCATATTTTTTTGGGTAGACCTTTTTTTAAAATTTTTCTAAAGTTATTTTTCTGTGATTTCTTCAGAAATGTATCAGGGAGTAAGAGGGAAGGAAAGGAAATGTCCAGGTTGAAAACTGCCTTGTACTGCCTCAGCCTGGCAGTCCATCAGTCCTCTTGTATTTAAAACCAGTCAACCCCTAGAACTGAGTTAGCTTGTTCAGCTAGTTGACCCGATGATAGCTGGTGACTGGTTCTAGAAACAAACCTCTCAATGCCAGTAAAATTCAAGGAGATGTGTCAGAGATTTGTGTCCTGACTGCTGAAGGTAATAATAGACCATGGCACATCTTAGGGCACATCGACATGGTCCCTCTGGTACCCACAACACCCTCTCACATGGAGCAAGTGTTGGGCTCCCCAAGTGTTCTTCCATACTCTCCTGGAAATGGCTTGTGTTTGCCATAGATCAGCCTGGGAGCTTTGTCTTGTGTCATCTGTGGGCTGAAACTTGGCAGACCTCAACTGGGAATGGCAGAACGTGGATCTGTTCTTACTCTGGCACTGCTTGTGTGCAGCAGTAAGTCAGATACTTCTCTCTGCTCTTCTGCTTTGTGAAACAGGCATAATTACTATCCATTCTGGAAAAAAAAAAAACCCAAAATAATGAAACTCCCGATTTAGATTTATTCCAGGCTTAGAGCATTAATATTTCTTGAAAAGACATAATTATCTTTCTTTAGAGTACAAAAAGCACATCTAGAGTACAGCATGCAATTGGAAGTTCCTCAGTTGCTGAAAGATGTCAGTACTTTGGAAGAAGTTCAGGGAAGAGCAGCAAGAATGTTGGAGAGGCTGAAGGGATTGATTTATGAGGGAAAGAAGATGAAAAGAAATGCATGAAACTTGGCTAAACGATATCTAAGTGGGAGATATTATTATCCACAAGTATTTGAAGAACATAATGGAGAAGAATCCCTTAGGGTGGTCCAAGGAGGTGGAAGCAAAGCTTAATAACATGAAATAAAGCAAAGTGTAACTTGACTATTGAGAGATGTTATTTAGCAGAGATGTCTTGCACTGCCAGATCATCTTTGCAGATGAGGATGTATTCCAATTTGACAATATTTATGTGTAGTTTGCCTGGATGTTTGCTAGTGCAGGGTAAAACAGGCAGGTAGTAGGATGGTGGGTGGAAGTACAATTTATTTTTCAGTTCACTTCTCTTTTTGTGTCCAGGCATGCTTTTATTGCTTGTATGACAAAGTATAACCTTTCTAGAATGTTTGCAGCAGCATCTAAAAGAAAAAAGTGTTTGCTGGCAGATCTGTTCTGTAGGGCTCGGTTGTGGAGCTGTTTGTGCTTTAACTGAAGGCGAAGTTTCAAGGCCTGTTAATTGACAAGATGATGCTTCCTTTCCAGACTGGTTGCATGATCAAATGCATAAAAAGGGGGACATAATCTCTAAACTCACAAGAGAGTTTTGTGTAGTTTAACAAGCTGCTTAAAAAGCAAACGGGGTTTGAAAGGCAATTTGAACTACACTGCTTTTAAAGTTATGCTTTGTGCGGATGAGGGAGCGAGCTACTGATGGGGCACTGCTTGCTGAGGTGGGTGATATGTGGCAGCTGTTTTACTTGTAAATGGAACACTGTACAGGGTAAATGAGTGAGAAGTATTGTTCAAGAGCAAGTTTGGGAGGCAAAAACTGTATGTTTAAGTGTCTTATTCTAAAGAAGATAAAAGCTAACAATGACAGTCTTTGGAAAAAGCTTATTTCAACATACCTTGCACCAAGGAATGTTGTGCCAGTTGATATGACATTTAGAGGAAAGTTCAGCAAATCATTTGAATAATTTAGTGCTAATTGTGAATTTTATTTAACTGTTTCTCACCCAAGAACTGACCCTGTAAAACTGTGCTTGGTTTGCAAAATCATGATCTGCTGCTGTGTGTCTTGACATCTTCTAAAAGATTGACTTTAGGTATGCCCATTTCTTTGGTTTTGGCTCATTGCATTTGTCATGTGCTTGTTTATTGTAAAATGTAGCAACTTTTTAAATCTAATTGGAGCATGTGTGATATCTCAAGCATGGTTCACTTTCCTTTCTGTCTAATTTCTAGTGAAGTGTTCATCCTTTCTGAGGCACTGCAATGTGTCTAACTGCCGTTCTCCTCTTTTTGGCTAAAAATTGCTGTATGTGACTTAGAGTTACCTTATTTCTTAATGTGAAAGAAGCAGTGCATATCTAACACTCCTAAGAGCTGAACACATTCCTGAATTGAGCAAATGTAAATGTAATAAAAGACACTTTTCATAAGAAGAGATAAAAATGAGAATATTGGAGTACAAGCTTTGTGGCTTCACTGTTCTTTTTAGCCATACAGGATAACAGGAATTTTAAGTTTCTTAGAACAGGTGCAAACAAAGTGGTTTACGACTTTGTCTTTTGTTACCAGTAACTTTTTGCCTTGCACTTGAGAGAACAAGTCCATTTCACTGTTCCCACTGCTTGTCAGGGTAAGAGGGATTGAAGGTGCCATAAAAGTCTGTTCTGAAGGGACAGCACAGATCTCTCCCTCACCAGGACACAGCACCTCTGGCATTCTGCAGTGTTGGTGTAACAGGACATACAGTGGTCAGAATTCAGCAAAGTGTCTTATTATTGAGAATTCCTTGTATTCTTACGTGTGAAGTTAAGGGTAGGAATACAGAATATGTTTTCCCCTTAGTATATTGTGGATTTGGTACATCTTTGGTGTTTTTGTACTTTACTGCTTTTTCACTGGATGAGGTCCCCCGCTGGCTTGCAAAGTACTTAATGACATAGTGGGAGAGGTATGAAGTAAGAGCTGTACATGAACAGCACTACTCTGCATG